AAACTCGGTCTCTCTCTCTCGTAGGAACAGGGCACAGAACACAAAATAAAAACATATATATACATATGGACATGGAAAAAAAAACTTCCTACAGGGAGGGAAGAAAAAACAAGTGGGGTGTGCTAAACATCGTGGTCATAGGCAGTGAGCATCGAAGTGCATCACTGCACGCCTTCCTGCGTCTGGACAGATACTGCAACACGGGAGACATCGCTGCGGCTGAGCTGTGACGTAACAGGGTACGGTCTCCTCTGGAACGGTGAAGCAGACATCGTAGGAGTCGCTGCAGGTTTTCACTCAACCTGGGGCACGACATGCTGGTGCCCTCGAGTGAGGCGTCGACAAAACTCGGCAACTGGGCAGGACTTCTGGCAAGCGACTCAGGAGGACACTTCTCAACTGGTACTGTCGCTGGGCTGTCACTGCCGGCGAGCGTGGAGCGAGTTGTGGAGCGAGTCGTGGCAGAGACGACTGGGCGAAACATCTGGGAGTCGTAACATCATACACCAGACTGCAGTGAGAGAGCTAGCAGTCAAAGTGACATCTTCTTTGTGCAGGCTGCTCACTGAAGCTTGTGACACGAGGCTGACACAGCGCCTGCCGACAGGCCTGGCTGCGGCTTGACGAGTATCATCTCTCGACAGGTGGAGTTATAGCAGATGTTAGTCTAAGCGTCCCCAGACTTGTTTCTCTACATATAACTGCACTCTGAAGGTCTGGAGGTGAAGTGAAACAAATCTCGATGGGAATCGTAGCAGGTACGATTCTACAGAACATCACGAGCGACGAGCATAAAAGCTTTCTGTACAAGAGGGCTCGTACGCTCAGGGCTGAGTAATCAGCTGTCAAACACACTGGTCACGCGGGTGACAGCACTGGTGCAACTCAAGGGTCTGACCACAGACCTCACTGGACACACGGAAAACTTACAAACACACCGCTGTACATACGGTACAACATGGCTTAACTAGCAAATGATGCTTTTCTGCACATAAAACTGACTAAGACATACTAAAATGTGAGAACACTGACTGAGAGGAATTAATTAACACACGACATATATCTTCTCTCAATGTTCTCGACAATACTGAAATAATTACTAGAACACTCGATGTGACATCATGTCAGGCGTGATGTCGCAAGGTGACGTCAGCAGCAGTGACGTCAACAAACATCTCGAGGTGACGTCAGGCAGACATCGTGAGGTGACGTCAGCAGACATCGTGAGGTGACGTCAGGCAGACATCGTGAGGTGACGTCAGGCAGACATCGTGAGGTGACGTCAGGCAGACATCGTGAGGTGACGTCAGGCAGACATCGTGAGGTGACATCAGCAGACATCGTGAGGTGACGTCAGGCAGACATCGCGAGGTGACGTCAGCAGACATCGTGACGTCATGAAGTCGGGCAGCATCGTGGGTGGCGTCGATGTGATGCGGGCAGCAGACCACAGCATGAGGCCTGGGACATCTGGTAACTCACGTGGCTTTGTAGGTCTACGTGACATCGCCCACACCCACGTGACATCGTGATTCACGTAGCTTCGAGTGGCCTCGGGCACTCGGATACACAGCACTGGCAATGAATTCATACGAAAAAAGCAGAAAACACAGCAGAGGGAGTGGGCAGTGGTGAGTGGTGTATGGTAGACGGGTGAGCGTGAGTAGGGCGAGCATGGGCAAGGTGAGGAACAGCCACTTCCTCTCCTCACCTCCCCCACCCACAAATACGTGGAGAAGCTCACACTGGACGCAGAAATCACCACAAAACTCACCTCTGGCTTGCTGAAACAGCTGTGCTGAGCTGAACAACAACAGCAACATACAAGTGACGCTGAACACGTGACTTGAGAAACAGCGTGGGACGCTGTGGCGTGGAGTCACTGGGACGCCACTTACAATTCTCGGAGAATTTCAGCAAATTTCGGCTGGATCCTGCTAGTACCTGTGTCTGGATGCTCAAACGTGCAGACACGACATCAGGATAACTCGTTGAGAGACGGATGCTTCTTTTGTAGGGTGATGAAGTGAAGATGACTTCATACCTCTTCCTCTCTCTCCAGGCAAACAACTGCTGCAAGCACCGCTGTCACCATTTATAATGGGGTTTATTTTGGTAGGCTGTAGAGCGGTGGTTAAATGATATACGTCTTCGGAGGCTTCTTACTTTATTGTTAAGTCGTTGTGGGTTACACAGGCTTGTGTGTTTGTGCCCATGGCCCGGGCAGGGCCATGCCACGAGAGAGAGCTGGGAGTACTTGTGTGTTGATGCCAGGCCGCTGTGTGAGTGAGAGCGAGGCAAGTCTGGGCATACTGAAGTGGGAAGGCCTAGGTGGCAGCACCAGCATAGCGCGAAATATGAACTAAGCTGGCAGACAGCATGGGCTGTCTGTGCAGACAGTACAGGCTGTCTACACAGACCGGGCCTCGGGGGCGTTGACCCACAGAACTCTCTCCAGGTAAACTCCAGGTAAACACCTGTCATCACTGACATTTTCTACACGCGTCATCACTGACAGTCTCTACACCTGTCATCACTGACAGTCTCTACATGTGTCATCACTGACAGTCTCTACATGCGTCATCACTGACAGTCTCTACATGCGTCATCACTGACAGTCTCTACATGCGTCATCACTGACAGTCTCTACATGCGTCATCACTGACAGTCTCTACATGCGTCATCACTGACAGTCTCTACATGCGTCATCACTGACAGTCTCTACATGCGTCATCACTGACAGTCTCTACATGCGTCATCACTGACAGTCTCTACATGCGTCATCACTGACAGTCTCTACATGCGTCATCACTGACAGTCTCTACATGCGTCATCACTGACAGTCTCTACATGTGTCATCACTGACAGTCTCTACATGCGTCATCACTGACAGTCTCTACATGCGTCATCACTGACAGTCTCTACATGCGTCATCACTGACAGTCTCTACATGCGTCATCACTGACAGTCTCTACATGCGTCATCACTGACAGTCTCTACATGCGTCATCACTGACAGTCTCTACATGCGTCATCACTGACAGTCTCTACATGCGTCATCACTGACAGTCTTGCCATCAAGTGAATTGAAATAAATTATACATTTAACTATGCAAAATGTCGGAAACAACAGTAGTTAATTTACAGGACTATTTTAAGCGAGGGTAAGAAAAGAGACATGACAGAGGTGACAGTACTTAAAGATGATAATTGCTGGTGTCCAGGTCATAATGGAGGAGGAGTGGGAAAATATTAAATACTCTTTCGTAGGAAACTGTTTACATGTGTAAAAACGTGAGTTGCGATAGCTTAAAACAGGAGATAAAGACAATTCTTATTGGAGAGATAGTTCAGAGTATTAGCATAGGAAATTGGAATGCTGAAGGAGGCTCTGAAGAAGATAAGGGGATTGTATAGATGAGGCAATAATAATGAAAGAAAAGGCAGAAGACAATAAATCAGAAAGGAACAAAGAGAAATGTCATCAGGAGGCAGAGAAGGTGATACGAAAGACAGAAGTATAACTGGTGTCATATAAGTGGTTAAGAGAACCAACAAGCTGAAGAATTCGATGCTTTTGAAGCACTTAGAAATTTTTACTATGAAAACGATTCACCAGCAAGTCGCTTTGTCAGTTCGGTAAAGAGATGAATGGTGGATTTACATTAGATTTTGCCACCGACGTGGCTAGTTTATTTATGTACCCGCATATCCAACATTTTGAGGGTAGCGCAAGAGCATATGGATACACAAAAGGCCTAGGAAGTACATCTGGATTTATATCTACGTAGGTTCACTTATCTGTTACAAACAAATTTATGAAATTTGCTTAATATATTTGGTATCTTATTTCCGTTAATAAGATATCTTGACAGTTCACATAGATTAATATACTATCTCTATATTCCTCAATAAGTTGACAATTAAGCACATAGTGTTCAAGATAGTGACCATAGAGCTGGTCACATACTTTGCATTTGCTTTGATCATCATCTGTGGAAGGTAAGGAGTTAGAAGTAATTAGTTCCCTCAGTCTTGAGTTGATGTGTTCAGTTCATCAAACTCCTCATCTTCCACCATTCATCTCTCTCTCTCCATCTCTGCACCGGACTGAAGAAGCCAATTGTTGGTGTAGAGTTTCCATAAAAAAAATTCCCAAATGCTGAAAATGTGTCAAGTTCTTCAGCGCACCAGATAATACAGCTTATAGGAAAACGCTTTTTCCTCCAGATTGTATTATCTGTTGTCACCAGTTACACTGATGATTCATGGCCTTAAGATAGCTGATGGCAGGAGGAGAGGAAGAAAGAGAAGAGAGGAGAAGCATTATATTAGTCACCGAGTGTACAGTAGGAATTATAGAAGATGGAAAATCTTCAAAAGTTTAGTCAGTGTTCCCAGAGTTAGCAATTCCCAAGCAAACTAACCTTCTGGTCGCAAGTACCTGTTTAAGAATCTTGAAACAAAGAGCATTCTTGAGCACATGGTATCACCTTGTATACTTGGATAGAGAGAGAGAATGAAAATGAGGGATGGAAAAGTTGAGGGAGAACGTAAAAGAGCCGTCAACCACAGGATAGAGAAGCAGAGAAAGTTGCTGGAGCAGGGAACTCCCACTCTTCACAAATATCGTTTAAAGGCTCGTCTCCTGCCCATCTCTCAGCAGGATCAAACTCAAGGCACCACTTTCCTACGATAAAAATAACCTCACACCTTTCCCCCCACCCCCTCTTTCTTCAGCTGTAACCCTGACCCTTCAGCTGTAACCCTGACCCTTCAGCTGTAACAATACATTCCATCCCAGCCACACCACTGCCTCTCATCACAGATGAGCAGCAAACAGAAAAACCTACATGCAGACCAGAGCATTGTTAAAGTAAGATAGCTTAGAGTATGGAACACAGATGAAGGTCGAGTACCAAACTAGATTGACGAAGTGAATGCTTCCCACAACAGACATCTCCCTCGCCACACTAACATTCTCAATCTCTCTCACTACAGGCATCTCTCGGCTACGTGGGTCAGTGTTGTATGAACTCTACCAGGCACTGTACTACAAGGCTCAAGCACTCTTCACAGTTGGTGCTGCCACCAGCGAGCAGGCCCGCAGGATAGCTATGGTAAGTGACCATGTGTACACCTTAGCCTCTAACTGGATTATAGATATATCATGGACACTTTGAAAGTTATAGAGTTTGCAATATCACACTTGTAATTATGGACCCTTCTGTCACCCTGATAAATATAGAAGTTTCTGTGTCAGAGCTCACTCTGGCTTACTGATAGCAGTTATAGATCCTTGCACTGGGGAAATGATTATTAGTATCATGGACGTACCTAAAACAGTTTTAAATCCCACAGTGATAGTAGAACAATAATTATACTCTCAGTCACGTGACTCTTAATGCTTAGCTAAGCACACCAGGAGATTAATTTTAGACCCGACCACGTCGACTCGTGAGATAATTTCGTTCCCTTGGCCCCTTGCATGTGAGGTGGTGCAACACATCACCAGGTGCGGCTTCACAACCATTATCCAGGGGAAGGTTTGTTTGGGGTAGTAAGTTAACTTCAGTAGCCGAGTGGTATCAGTAGTTGAAGAATAAGATTCTCCAAATGATGCACAAGAATCTCACTCTTCAAGCATTCAGGTTTCAAAAGCCTCTTCATTACAGGTATCAGTAGTGACTTTTCCTTAGACAGACATCTTCTCCTTCTTCGGGCTCTTAATCCAAGGAACTAGACTCATTCTGCCCTTCTGAGTAGTATTCATTCACGAAACACTATATAACCACTTCAGGTTTAACGTTTCCACATAAGTGAAAATACAAATACCCAGAGCAAAATTTCTTCCCGTAAACCCAAGTTCAGCAACGTGTATATTTCCCAAATTATTGAAGGTACTTTCTGCATTTGACTCGGCGTTATGAATTTAAAACTTTCCCGAGATTGATATCTATTATTTCACAGTCAGGAGTGAGAGACACAGATGCAGTAAAACGCGATCCTTTATTAACAACGTTTCGTACACACAGTGGACTAGAAGGTATCTAAGATACCCAAGTGCTGCATATGTGTCCAGTTTATCAACTTATCGGTTCACTGAACCATTCATCTACACTTCATCAAGTCCCTAACAGATGTTGTGACTTGATACAGCATCTGTGTCTGTGTCTTTTTTTGCCTAACTCGTGAGACGTTGGTTCGTCCTGGTACTGGTGAACAGCAGCTGGAATCTTCACAAACTAGTCTCTGACAGGGAATAGTAAAGGAAGGCAGAGGACCAGAGTTGTATAGCCAGTGTTCAGGTGAGATGATAACACCTAATGAATTAGGTGATACACGATTTATTAGTTGATATATGATGTATTTGTTGACTTAACATAGTGCTTAATTTTCTTCTATGATATCTAAAAGGATTATAGACTGATAGTTGAAGAGTTTCTTGAAGTTATTACCGACGAAGGACTAGTAATATATATACTAACACAATTTGTGCAGTGTAGAGTGTTTCAGGTGAAGGTCTGAGATCTTATTTATAAGATGCCACCCAAACCAGCCTACGAACTTCTTAGTATCTGACCTCGATTTAAATCGTAGTAATCGACTGTTTACTGGTGGGTGAAACAAGGAAGTGGGTTTTAAGAGACGTGCTGATTCGTTTCCACACGCCCGGGATTCAACCTGATTCCTTTTGATTGTAACCCGAACGGTTTATTATTAAGCTACGAGGTACCACAATGGTCTTCACCCAACTGAGACATATATTTGTGTTCTCCTATTTGTGGTTGCAAGAGTCGAGTCTCAGCTTCCCACACTGCCTCTCAAACTGGCTGCTACTGGCTTCGTCAGCATTATCATACCTATTCTTGTAGCAATGTGTAGAACCTTCTTCAATTTCTTTATCCGGCATATCTGAGGTTACAAGAAATATTTCAAGTCGTCCCTATTACTTATCTGATTGGTTACCTTCCAGTTGTGCCCTTACGTACCGGTTTTTGGCCTCTCACTCTACACCCTTATCAAGTCTGCTGAATATTATGTAGATCGTTATCATGTCTCCCGGGATCCTTCAGTCCTTCTATGTCATCAAATTTAGCTCTCTCATTGTTTAATAACTCGTATCTGTTAGCTCCGGGGACTGGTCACAGACCGGGCGGGGGGGGGGGGGTTGACCCCCAAACCGTCCCCAGGTATATAGTGTAGTTTTTGATGAAATCCCTAAAAGATAATCTTAGAATTGCTAGAAACTCGTTTCCTGCTGAGATTATTTGGTTGATGTGCACTTCTGGGGATATGCTCGGTATTATGCTCACTCCTTGAACCTTACCAGTGAATGAGAATAACAGCCTTGTCCCTCCAGGCCTGTATTTTGTTATCGGTCTTCTTTGCAAAACCCAGATTTTCCTAACCTTGCAATTTCTGCAGTTGAATTCCAGTAATTATTGTCACCATTGTCAGACCAATTCGGCATCTTGATTATGTCAGTTTGAAGCCTTTCCTTCTCAGTTATTATTGTTTTCTTATTAGTTTCACATTAACTACAAATAGAGAAATATTATCTCATCTGTAATGTCGTTTACATACGCCAGAATCACTGCGAGTCTCAATACCAGTCCTATACAACCTTCCTCGTCACATATGACGATTCCAATGACTCTTTCTGAACAATTACTTTTTTTTTCTTGTTCAGCCACTACACCTGTTTGAAGATATATATAAAGTTCACAAAGTTCCATTTTGCACTCCTTAAGAGCCCTTGAAAAAAGTTCATCAGGGATTTATTTTTCTTTAATCGGTCCACTTTTTTTTTTTACCATATCTCTAGCGACTGTGATATTACATAATTTATTTTCGGACTCACTAAAGGAATTATTACTGAGATATCGTTTGTGTCTTCTTTTGTACAAACCAAGAGGAAATAATTGTTAAAAATCGAGCACATTTCATTCTTCTTGTCAGTAAGTTGACCAGAGTTACTTTTAAGAGGACCTAATTTTTCACTAACTTTTGTTCTATATTCCTGGGAAAAACCTTGTGGGTTTGTTTTCGAATCCCTAGTAACTTTATTTTCAGGGTCTCGTTTAGGTTTTCTTATCGTCTTTTTAGCTTCTCTCTCTTGACGTGAATAAATTGTTTAATAAGTTAACCATCACCTCTTTTGATACGTTTATAAATTCCTTTCTTCTGCTCTAAAAGGTGTTTGAACCTATTGCTTATCCATTTCGATCATTTCTATTTGATCTTATTTCTATAAATGTAATATATGTTCTTTGAGTAGCGTGTATAGTGTTTAAAAAACTGTTACACTGATGGTTTTCTTCGTTACCCCAGATGACAGATGTTCCTTAAGCATCTCTCCTAGATAAGTGAACCCCATCCCTGACATACATGTCATTTCTGCCATAGAGGAGACCCCAGTTGTCTGTAAATTGTATCGCAATGTCTTTATGGTGTTTGTCCAGCCAGCAGTTAACTCCAGTTGCCTGGATAACCACTCATTTTTAACTCCTCAGGTTTTCATTGCTACGTCTGGCAACATCGTTGCCTCTAGCACTGAGACAGATAATGTTATTGCTCCTATTACTTCTCATAACGCTGTTTAGATGGCTGACAATATCCTCCATCCCAGCCCCAGAAAAATACCTTCTGCCTCCTCTTCCTATCTATAAGTCAAAAAGCCTTATCCATAAACTTAAGGCTGCAACACCCAAAGAAACTCAAAAATTTGTTTCAATACCTCAAATACTAATAAAATCCAGCCCTTCTCACCCATATATTAGTTTAATGTTTCAAGCTACCCAAGGTTTAAGCTTCTATTACCCAAGACTGTTCAACGTCCTCCCAGCATACATAAGGGGGATTACCAATAGATCCCTGGCTGTCTTCAAGAAGGCACTGGACAGGCACCTAAAGTCAGTACCAGACCACCTGGGCTGTGATTCGTACGTCAGTTTGCGTGCGGCCAACAGTAACAGCCTGGTTGATCAGACCCTGATCCACCATGAGGCCTGGTCTCAGACCGAGCCACGGGGGCGTTGACCCCTGAAACCCTCTCCAGGTAAACCCTACTTGGCAGACTATTCCACGCATCGACAACTCCTAAAAAACCAGTAATTACGTACATCTTTTCCAAATCTAAATTTATCTAATTTAAAAATATTATTACTATTGATTCGATATTCTCTGTACTTTATTTATATCACCTTTCTTTATGCCCATCTTCCACTCATGTACTTCAATGATATCTCCCCTCATTCTTCGTCTCTCAAGCCAGGGAAGATTCGTGGTTCTTAATCTCACCTCATATAAGGGATTTCACAGTGATCCTTGGAATTTTACTCTCAGTAAAGTTAGTTTAATAAGTTTATTATGCACCCCATACCCATCCAGTGGGCGGTAGTCAAAAGATTACAGAGGTACATAATGGGTCCAGGGACTGGGCCTCAAAGTTTTGATAGCTGAACAAGTTACAGAGGTAATGAATTCACAATTTACAAAGGTAATGAACTCACAATTTACAAAGGTAATGAACTCCAGGTAGGTCTAGTCACAATCATGACAAGTTACAAAGGTATTTACAGATTACAGAGGTACACAATGGGTCCAGGGACCGGGCTCAGTAAAGTAGTGTCAGCTTCCAGTGTAGCCCTACTTTACCTAACTGAAAATTCCTGGTGCAAGGCACTAAATTCCAGGGGTAAATAAGCAATTACCTAACATATGGGGCGGATGCTATGACCTGCCTCGACTAATTTTGTTTACGACCTCCCACTTCGATGAGGTGCCAACCCCTGCTGGGCCAGTCACTGCTACCACTTTCAGAAGTGCCAACGTTGGCCGTGCCAGCATTGAGAGTGCCAGCGTTAACAGTGCCAGCATCAGGTGGCACCAGTGGTGTTAGCACTAGTGGTGCTGGTGCCACTAGTTCAGTGGTTCATATATGATATTTTCTGTCAGGCTGACGGTGTCCTCTAAGTTTGGCTGAAAAGCTTTAAGTACGTCAGTAAACTAACACAGTTGGATTCTTTGAGATGATTGAATAATGTCTCATCCGGTCGGTTTCAAACTTTGATCACAGGTGTGTTTTACTTTATAATTAGGGTCACAAGAGTCACTA